TTGCAGCCCCGCCCCCCTCCCAGTGCTGGAGTACGCTGGGGGTCTTTGCACCCCAGATCTGCGAGGTGGTGATAGAGGATGGTCTTAGGGGTGATGGGGTGGTTTTGGGGGTGATGAGGTGGCCCAGTGGAGCCCTTGGGGGCTGAGTGACCCCGCCAGTGGTGGCCACCGTGCCCTGGGGTGATGCCCCCCCATCTCGAATCGAAATCTGCCCCAAACGCGCCCACTGTGGTGGGAAACGGTGTCAAGCAGGGACCATCCCCATCGCGGCCTCTCCTCCTCCTCCTGGCAGATGGCGTCCGCTACCGACTCCCGCTACGGGCAGAAGGAATCCTCGGACCAAAATTTCGATTATATGTTCAAAATCCTCATCATCGGCAACAGCAGCGTGGGGAAAACCTCCTTCCTGTTCCGCTACGCCGACGACTCCTTCACCCCGGCCTTTGTCAGCACCGTCGGCATCGACTTCAAGGTCAAGACCATCTACCGCAACGACAAGCGCATCAAGCTGCAGATTTGGGTGAGACCTCCCCCATAGATCCCTCGGTGACATAGTGACGGCGGGAGGTTGGAAAGAAATGCCTGGGGTTATGTTTCTGGTGGGGTCGGGCGCTGTGGTGTCCCCTCAGGGAGGTGGCCAGGTCCTGGCAGCTGCGTGTGGAGGTGACGCGGTGCTGTTGTGTGTCCCTCCCCCACGGTTGTGCAGGACACGGCTGGACAGGAGCGATACCGCACCATCACCACTGCTTACTACCGCGGTGCCATGGGCTTCATCCTGATGTACGATATCACCAACGAGGAGTCCTTCAACGCTGTGCAGGACTGGTGAGACCCCCAACCATGTCCCCACCCTTTACTTCCCTCCCCATGGCATCATTTTTTCCCTCCGTGGTGTCATTTTTCCCCCTTTTCCTCCCCAAAAAAGGTCCACCCAGATCAAGACCTACTCCTGGGACAATGCCCAGGTCCTGTTGGTGGGTAACAAGTGCGACATGGAAGACGAGCGCGTGGTCTCCTCAGAGAAGGGCCGCCAGCTCGCTGAGCACCTGGGTGAGCCTGCGGAGGGGTGTGTGGGTTTTTTTGGGG